GCCGTTGAGCGGTTCAATGGCCAATTGAGTCATTTTTCCAAGATTACGTTTGAACCCCCCTCCCGGGGGAACTATTTCTGGGAGCGGGCATGTGCAAGTACAAGTGTGTGTGTGTGTGTGTGTGTGTGTACGTGCACACGCGCATGTGTGTATATACACGCAGGGAATCTACATCGAGGATTTGATCAGTGTTCGATGGTGGTTTGACCAGTGTTTGTTTGCACACGAGACGGCCGTGACAATCCTAACCTTTGGCATGCTGCCTGCCGTCATCTGCCTTGCTGCCAGCATCATTGCCTGTGTACTGTGGTAAGGCTAACTGCAGGTTTCACATGATGTGATTGAATGTATGGAGTACACATACCACAGAGGTGGATGGCTGTGTAGCCTGTGTAGCTGTGTAGCTGGTGTAGCTGCCTCGACCGGCCTTGTTTGTGTGTATGGAGTACGTGTGTTTTGTTTTCGATTTCGACAGCATGTTACGCACAGTCCTCCTGACTACACCCATATCCCGGTTTGCAGAATCCCGGTCTTGCGACCATTTGTACGTCCTCGCCTTGTAACATGCTGTCGAAATCGAAAGCAAGGCTTCTATATATACCATAAATTTTGTTCTTGATAAGGCGCAGCTGTACAGTAGAGAGATCTAGAACACTATGGATGAAGATTCATACGTGCACAGGTCTGGACATGTCCTGCCTCATGCTCATATCCATGCAGGCCAGGAGGTGCAGACATGTCTTATCTGTGTATAAGGCTGGGCATGTCCTGGCTTGTATCTATATAGGGCTGGGCATGTCCTGGCTTGTATCTATATAGGGCTGGGCACGTCCTGCGCCATAAAGGGCTGGGGACGTCCTGCCTCGTATCTATATAGAGCTGGGCACGTCCTGCCTTCTGTCTATAAAAATAATTATAATAATATAGGTCAGGACGCCTGCCTCATATCTGTGCTGATCGGGAGGCGTCCGTCCTGCCTCATATTAGTCCAAGCTGGGTCACACACTGCCTGATAGTTGTGCTGGCTTGGGCATGTCCTGGAAATACATTACTGCAGGTTCTCAGACTGAGTATGCTCTGCTTCATACTCATATTGGTATAAACCTCGGTATGCCGATCCTGCCTGGGCAGATCGTGCTGTATGCATGTGGGTCCAGGCAGAAACAGTTTGATATTTGCAGAGTTGAAGACATGTCCAGCCTGCCTTGTACTGATATCACTTTGCCTGTGTGTGTGTGTGTGTGTGTGTGTGTGTGTCCGTGATGTCTGTGCTCAATGTAGCATCTCACATAAGGTGTACACGGCATTGCGGCTAAACCCGGACCGTGTGATCGCATCGACAGTGCACATCTGGCTGGTGGTCTACGGTGGAATACTGCTGCATAGCTTCAGACTCGTACACTGTGTACCTTTGTTTGGAGAGAGGGTGAGTGTGTACTGTTGTACACTGCATGCATGTGTCTGGACGGAGGCTGAATGCGAGCTGTAGGAGGACTGGGAGTGAGGTTATGGTGGGTATACGTACAACTTGGTGTTTGGGCTTGGTCAAGTTTGTGGTTCTGTTGGGATGCATTGACAGATGTTTGTGTGTCCGGCTGTGTGTCTGGTGGAGCATGAACATGGAACATTGAACATCCTCGTGCAATGTGTGTGCCATGCATGTGTGCGCGCGCGCGTGTGTATGCATGTGTGTGTGTGTGTATGTGTGCCAGCTAGTTCGGTTGGTGGTGCACTTATGCCAGATAGTGTTGGGCCTGTTGCCAACGGGCTCGGCTGCTTGAAGGTGTATTGTTGTACCTACCACCTTTGTTGGTTTCAGGGTTCATATACTTTCTGTTTGAAGTATACATACCTGTTAACCATGGACTGCTTCTGGCTAGATTAACTCTTGTGTAATCAATGGTGCTAGTGAAGCTTATTTCAGATCCACTCTGATTTAGCCACCCACACTAGTAGCAAGTATTACCTTCACTGGGGGCAGGGGTACCTGCAGTTGGATCCCGGGACGGATACCCTGATGCCGTCAATCCTTTTTCTGCACCTTGTCCTCACCCACTTACTGAGGTGTGGTGAGCCCATAAGTGGGATCATTTCAAGTCCACCCTAGTTTGGGGATTTCAGGGGGTGTCGGCCATTGGGTGGTTCAATGGCCAATTGAGTCATCTTTCCAAGATTCCTTTTGAGTCTCTCTCCCCTCTCCCGAGGAGACCCACGTGACCAGTTTTGGCAGTGAGTACAAGTACAAGTATGTGTGTGTGTGTGTGTGTGTGTGTGTGTGTGTGTGTGTGTGTGTGTGTGTGTGCGTGTGCATGTGTGTGTATGTGTGTGTGTTTGTTTGTGTGCGTGCGTGTGAATGTGTGTGTGTGGGTATGCGTTTCTGTTTTGCAGGTGTTGTTCCTGGATGGCTCTGTGAAGTGCTTCACAGGGAATCATGCCACTATGGCTAGTCTAGCAATCCTGTGCATTCTAGTTGTGGGAGTACTCGGACCACTAGCTGTTG